CAATGCACATTCGAGGAACTCTATAGCCACATCTTGAGTAAGGCAGAAGAAGAAATTGTTCTATCACATTTCAGGATAATTATTAAAACACATTTCTTCAAAAGTGAAAATTGGTGGAATGGAAATGTCTCAAAGCACCTCAATGAATCTCAAAATGAGACAGATTATGTGCATAATTTTCCTTGGGTTTGACTCCTTAGATTTACTGTCTTTACTATAAACTTCTATTAATACAAAATTATCTTTGAAGACTAGAAATTCAGTAATGATCCAAAATTGGACACGGTGATTTGCTTCACTTTTGCCCTAAGTTGGGACATGTAGTTAAAGATAAATACAAGCACTCTGAATAGAGCCTTTCTTCAACAAAGCAGCTATGTCAGCACAGGCAGCAAATTAGAGCAGAAACTGAGTGCAAAGTTCAAAAATCATTTCCAAAGAGCATGGAGTACTTAAAATGTAGTATGGCTAGGTTAATGTTTACTTGTACTTTATTTCACTTAGCATTGGGTTATTAAGTATCCATCAAATAGCTTCCCCTGGATCTCCTAGAGCTCAGTGGAAATATTAATTTATTGAAGGAGTTTCATATGTATAGACCTTCCATGAAACAACTAGCACAGCATCTTGTCCATTATCTATGTCATAAAGCTGTTAAAAGGATTAATCAAAATGATAATATGCACAAGTGTTTCAAACTTATAAAGTTCCATTAAAATATTTACTTGTACTATAATTCATAATTGACTGTTTTTATAGAATATTATTAGAAATTAAGACATACGTAGACTCTTCATAAATATTTAATGTTTCAGAGATCTTGAGTATAAACTAGTCCAAATTCCTTAATTTTATATGATGTTCTAAGAGAAGTAACTTGGCCTAGGCCACACTGAATAAAATTGTAACAAGAAGTTTGAAAGTCAGAGTCCTTGATTGAAGATGAATGCAATGAGTTTACCATGATAGTTAGCTGCCTCATATTTTGATTACTCAAAAAAACACAAGCTGCACAGACTACTACTCTCCACTGGCCCCAAATCTTCTATACTGAAAACAGAATATGAGCAATGGGTCAATACTGGAGCCCAGATTTATAATTTATAATATACAGTGATCATGCAGCATGTTTCCATGTAAGAAGGCAATTCTTTGGTAAAAGATTCTAATTCATTGCTAATAATTCTTCCTTAGGTATTCACCTTCCTGGATGTACATTGAAAATACTTGTCTGCAAAGAAGGAATCACTGCAATGACATTAATCTTAACTAAAAATGCATAACAAAGTGAAAAATGTAGTCTGAAGTAGATAGAGATATGGGGAGTAATACTACAGGATTCACATCAAGTGGATCAGTATCTCAAGATGCTTACCAATATTATTAAAGTTGATGTTATTTTGTTTTCAGAATTTAGCATATATAAGCCAACCTGCAGCTGCCCCCAAAATAAGCAGTCAATTATAGGACACTTAAAACACTGGGTTTGGAAGCACTGTTCTGTGGATAGCTATATAATGAAAATAATGTACAGGATCAGAGAAAGTGACTAATAATTAAAGTTGCTAGGACTGGGCTTTCATACAAAGTTCTTTTTTATTTGTATGTTTAAATCTATAAAATGGCAACAATATTTGCAATCATTACTTTTTCAGGAAATTATACCCATTTCTGAGTATAATATGCATGTATAAAAGACCACCTGTCTTACCAATTTCTCAGTACACTTCAGACACCATATAGTGTTAACATGTTTTTAAGCTTCCATTGTATCGCGCATAAATCTGGGTAAACTGTAAGCATTCAGTACCAACAGAATGAGTTTTCTGTTACTGGACTTTTAAATTCATTACAATTCCAGACCATGATGCCTAACTTACATTCCTCTCCACATCTCTAGTAAAATATGCACAAAAACACTGGAGGAGATGTCTAACTGATACATATAGCAAATCTGAAATACAAACATGTCCTAAGTTAACAACTTAAACTATGCAACCTCTTCCACAAGGCCCATAAAATACAAAGCAGTGATAATCATAATTTAAAAACACAAAATACAATGCACAGACAAAATATATAAAACACCACATAAAAAGTTTCATCATCCTAATGAAAGTTTGAACTAGTAATGGATTATTCAAAATACTTGCTTCGTTCATTAAAAGCCACAATGTAAAGTGAGTTCTACATAAAAACAATGTAAATGAGAACTTTTACAGAGTAAGATAGTTACACAGCACAGCAATCGTTTACTGTGAATAAAAGTGGATTATGTGCAAAGAAAAGCCAGCTAAGACAAATATTTCAAAAAAAAAAAAAAAAAAGCCAGTTTAAAACTGTGAAAGATAACCCAACAAAGGATGTTTGGGCCCAACAAAGTATAAGACTGCATTTCTGCAGAAAAGACAGCATCACTGTTTTTAGCCCAAATGCTATTTGAATATTTTTCCAAATTTTAACTCACAGTTGGAGAATTCCTGTACCACTCCATTATTTAACTACCTGGGAAAATCCTCCTCTTGCAATATTCTAGATTATTGGGTTGAGAAAATAGCCAGATTCAGTAAGAATTTAACCTTCAAAACTAATGAAACAGACCAATATGAAGCAGACAGGAAAGAACTTATAGCCATTCCCCCAAAAATGGTAATTCTTACTTCAAAGACCTGTAGTCCATTACTCCCAATATACAACCTCCCTTTACTCCAATACCATGCATGAGTGGCTTGGTGAGATTTTTAACCTTAACCAGTAATTTGCATTGGCCTCTCCAAGAGATACTCTAAAAATATACATACTAAATAAAGCAATGTTCTTGCTATTGCAAAAGAAATTGCAAGACAAGAAACCTGGTGATATTATTTCAAATAAGCTACTGTCCTTTCCTCCTTCCACCACATAGAAATCAGGAATATGTCACCTCTATCATGCTTTGTTAAGAGAATCACAGTGGTGAAAGCATGGTTTTGAAGTCAGGCCATACAAATATTTATAAACTTTGACAAGTGCTAAAACATGAAAAAATAAGATAATGAAACAGGCAACCCTAAAAATGTATGTAAGTCAGTAGAAATTTAAATTAGCGCAACCAATCTGGAAGGTAATATAACTATAATTATCCAAAAGACTAAAAATATGTGTATAATTTGACCCAGAAACTCAAATTATTAACTGAATTTATTCACTGTCTTCCAGGAAAACAGTAGGTTAAATATGCAAGGATGAATGTACAAGAATATCCTCTAACATATATAATTCCAAAATATCACAGAAATTCTAACTATCTAACAACATAAGACTGACTGGTCAAATTACTCTGCTATAACCACACCATAAAGCACCAGCCAAACATTAAACATTAGAAAGAATGATGAATGGTCACATTTACTCAAACAGAAAGACATTCATGATAGCCCATTCAGTGAAAAACTCAAGAATACAAAACAGTAGGAGTAGAAAACTTTAATTTGCATTAAAAAAAATTTAAATCATATAATTAAAATAAAACATTCTGGAATAACACAAAAAAGTTAAACAATAACTATCTCTAAATGATGGAATTAAATGTGATTATTAATTTAGCCTTTACAAATTACTAGTGGCAAATCTACACAAAACATATAGATAATTAAGTTAATCATATAAATCTATGTATGGACTTGAACATAGCTACGCATCTAATCTCAGCTCTATTATTACCTTGAGTTTTGACTTTTGAAAATTAGCATTTCTTCAAAATTCTAATTTAGACTTCTTTAGGATTTCAAAGGCACTGAGAGATATGTGTCATCCCAACACAACCAACACTGTTCCTATACTACTGTACAATTTATTTTTAGTTTGCTTTGCAATTGTAAATAAAATACAATTTTGTCAGTGTGCAGTGCTATGCTGGGCCTTGCCTTCTGAGTTACTGCCCAACCCCTCTCCAAAAAAAACTAAACCACTTCTATAATAAACTGCCTGAAGTCCATAAGGAAAGCCACAGCACAATGCCACTTCTTTAATAGCTTTAGAAAAGAGTAATCATCAGTGAGGCCCCCCACCTCCACCCCAAGAGAAGCAGAAACATCAAGTAGACTTATTCAGACATTCAACAAGTCTGACTTCCCTCTCCTTCCAAACATCTCTACCACAATACTACAAGGGAAAATGAAGCTTAATATACAGTAAGAGAAGTTCAAAGATAATTGAAATTACCTAAGATTTCATAATAATTTAGCAATTTAATACTGAAGTAAATATGAACTTCATATTATATGTATGACATTTAGATTGTCCTCATTCAGATTAGAATTATAGAGGGACCATGTATGATATGCTGAACCACCTATAAGTAATGCTAAAGACATTCCAGAATTCATAAAATTTCATTGTCAAGATAAAGAGTTAGTTGCTCAGTTGTATTCAACTCTTTGCGACCCTATGGACTACAGCCCACCAGGCTCCTTGGTCCATGGAATTCTCCAGGCAAGAAAATTGGAGTGGGTTGCCATTTCCTCCTCCAGGGGATCTTCCTGCCCCAGGGATTGAACCCCTATTTCCTGCACTGCAGGCAGATTCTTTACCATCCTAGCCACCAGAGAAGCCCAAATAAAGAAAAAAGCACTTGAAATAAGTCAGACAGTGAAAGACAAATACTGCATGATTTCACTTATATGTGTAATCTACAAAGAAAAGCAAATCATAACAACAGAGTAAAGTGATAGTTGCTAGGTGTGGGTGGAAAATGGTGAAGGTGGTCAAAAGGTTACAAACTTCCAGTTTTAACATGAATAAGTCCTGGGAGTCCAATGTACAGCATGGTAACTATAGTTATAATACTGTATTATATAGTTGAAAGTTGCTAAAAGAATAATGTGTTAACTAACCTTACTGTAGTAACCAGTTTGCAATATATATGCACATCAAATCATCACACTGTATATTTTACACTTACACAATGTTGTTTCTCAAGTATATCTCAATAAAGCTGGAAAAAAGAAAAAAGCACTTACCACTAAGTCCCAATTATTTTGTTCAAGCAATGTAATAGCTTCATCAATATTTTCAATGCCAGTACATGCCTGAAAACAAAGTAAGAATTTTAGACAGAATTTTGGGAATGGAGAGGTTAATTAGCGTTGAAAGAAATAAACAGCATAATATGCAATTTAAGTTTAAACAGGTATGTGAACAAAGCCAAGACACTAAATGCCTAACACTTCTAAGCATTTTACACGGTTTGAAAATTGTTCATTACAATATAACTTAACATTACACTGAAGTAAAAGACAATAAACTAATAAAGTATATTTAAATGCTGATTGGAGCCCAGGATGATCACTACATCTCTATTGGCCCAGGACAACTTCTATTAAACAGCTTCTGATGAACAATCATGTGTTTAAAAAAATGAATTTTGATCCATACTTTGCACTTTATTCAAAAATTAACTCAAAATAATAACAGACAAAATACTCACTGTAGCCACTGCCAGAACCACAATGCTGAAAGGAAAGCAGCAGCAGCAGCCCTCATTGCCAGAGCAGGAGGAGACTGGAGAGGGCTGAAAGTCCATCAGACTACCTAGCCTTTGAGGCCCTCCTGTCATGGCAAGGAAAACCCTGGTGACTCCAAGTCAGCTCTTCACGATGATTCCAGCACTGCTCAGTCTCCCATCTCCTCCCTGGGGCAGGGAGAAGGGTTAAGCCTCAGATCTGGCTCACGTGGTCACAGATGGGGGGGCCAATGTTGAACTGCCTTTTCCTGGACCAGGGCACAGGGATCCCTCCAGGGAGGCTTTTACAAAAAGCGGAGAAATCCTTGAAGTTTCACGAGCTGGTCTCTTACTAAGAATACCTGCCCATCCACGGATGGACCCCAGGTTATGAAAGGCAAGATTCAACTGCCCTGTCTGCTGACGCTTTGCCAAAAAGGTCCACTGTTCACATCATATGGGGACTTAGCTCTTTGTCTTCTACCACGCAGGCATCAATGGACCCCCTCTGTGAGACTGTGCCTTCCCACAGTCCTCTGTAACCTACCAGCCATATACTTCCCTCTGGCCCTGTAATGGCTAGTGTGGGGCTGTTCCAACAACCAGTCAGTGACACCCACTCCCATGTCCACCTCCCCTATTTGGGGTCCAAAGTTGTGTTTCATCACTGGTGTGCAGTGTACATACTTCTGATCAAGCCTCCAGAGACTCATTTTCATGACCCCATCTTTGCTCTGTTCAACTGCCTCATGGATCCTCTTCACCCTAGCCAATGACTGCTGAACAGGAAACTTCTTTGGTGCTGTTTCTTATTCATCTGTCCACCCAGCCTCCAGCGTTGCCCATAATTCCTGAGAGGCGTAGGGCAGTTCCCTTCTAGCTGCTTGTTTTTTAAGTTCTTTATATGTCACCACCCCTATACCCAATAAAGTCAGCGGCTCTGTGAAACTGACCAGGTGGTCCGATCCCAGGTCAAGTTTGAATGACTGGCAGTCATACTCTCTGAATGGCTATACTTCATGTTTTCAAGTTTCATAGTCTCTGCACCAATAGCATGATCCCCACTACTATGGTCTCTGGTCAGTATACTTTGTGAAACTGAGCGTCCCCTCATAGCCGTTCTCAGTGTTCACACAATCTTTGTCACTTTCGACAGTATAGTACTCGTCTGCCCAATTGAGTGAGGCCGCTGTACTGTCTAGACTTTTCCCACCTCCCAACATGGAAAAATTATGAAACTTCACACAAGACTGCCTTTCTGGCCCTCCCCATTCTTCTAGTGCCAATCTCTCTGGGTCTGACACAGGCCCAAGAGGTGCCCTCTGAGCATCAGACGGGCCCACCCCACGTCCTCTTCCACTTCCCTGGTGGCTCGACGGCAAAGCATCTGCCTGCTACGCGGGAGACCCGGGTTCAACCCCTGGGTCGGGAAGATCCCCTGGAGAAGGAAATGGCAGCCCCCTCCAGTATTCTTACTTGGAAAATCCCATGGACAAAGAAGTCTGGTAGGCTACAGTCCATGGGGTCGCAAAGAGTCAGACACTACTGAGTGACTTCACTTTCAGTTTCTTTCTTTCTTTTATACCCTCTTCAGCCCATTTTACTTAAAATTACATCTCTGTGAGGTCACCAGCCCTTTTGCTTGAATTCTGTGAATCTCCCCCTGGCCTATCTTTGGGTAGAACCTAGACAGTACTGTTGCTCACTCCCAACCTTCTTTCCCTACATCCGTGGCACTCGTTGTTGTCTATGAAAATGGCAGTGAACAGATTCAGTTTTGAACTGGCCCCAAGGAAAGAGGTCGGAGTTGTATGGGCAAAAGGGAGGAATAAGAGCCACTGGAGAATTGAGAATGAACTATTTTAACTTTTTTTATATTAGTAACAAATACAGTGGAAATAAACAAATACATACATATCTAAATAAATAAATAAGTAACAGACATAAAGTAAAGCCCCAAACTACAAAGCTTCTAAATTTGTGCTGTTGGATATGGTAGCTACTACACACATATGGCTGGTGAGCCCTTGAAATGTAGTTCAACTGAGTTAAGATGTGTTGTGTTAAATAATACCAGCGTAGGACTTAGTATAAAGATTAAAATGGAAAGTATCTCATTAATAATTTTTCTAATGAACAAATGTTGAAATAATCATTTAAAGTATATTGGCTTAAAGGCTTCCCTGGTGGCTCTGTGGTAAAGAGTCCACCTGCCAATACAGGAGACAGGGTTAGATCCCTGGTCAGAGAATATTCCACATGCTGCAGAGCAGCTAAGCCCACGCAACACAACTACTGAATCTGTGCTCTAGAGCCTAGGAACTGCAACTACCGAAACTCATGCGCCCTAGAGCCCGTGCTCCACAACAACAGAGGCCACTACAATGAGATGCTCACGCACCTCAATGAGAGAGTAACTTCTGCTCCCCATAACTAGAGAAAAGCCCATGCAGCAACAAAGACCCAGCACAGCCTAAATAAACAAACGATATTATAAAAAATAAAATATATTGGCTTGAATAAAACACACTTAAATTTATTTTACCTGTTTATTTTTTCTGTTTCTTAACGTGGACACTAAAAAAATGTATTACATATATGATTCATTCATTTTCTAATGCTATACTAAGAAGAAAACATAGAAGGAAATCTCCGTGACATTTAGATACAAAAGCAAAAGTACAATCCAAAACACTGATAAAATGGACTTTATTAAGAACTACCACTCACGAAGACCAAAACAGACATTTCTCCAAAGAAAACAAAGAGATGGCCAAGAGGCACACGACAAGATGTCAAACATCACTATTTGTCAGAGAAATGCAAATCAAAGTGACAATGAGATATCACCTCACACCAGCCAAAAAGGCTATCATCAAAAAATTCACAAACAATAAATGCTGGAGAGGGTGTGGAGAGAAGGGAACCCTCCTATACTCCTGGTGGGAATATAAATCGGTACAGCCGCCATGGAGAACAGTGTGGAGGTTGCTTAACAACGAAAAACAGAGCTATCATATGACCCCTCAATCCATTCCTGGGCATATATCCAGAGAAAAACATGATCCAAAATGATATATACACCCCAATGTTCACTGCAGCACTGTTAACAATAGCCAAGACATGAAAGGAACCTAAATGTCCATCAATAGGGGAATGGATAAAAAAGATGTGGTACATATATACAGTTCTTACTCAGCCATTAAAAAGAATGAAACAATGTCATTTGCAGCAACATGGATGGACCTAGAGATTGTCATACTGAGTGAAATAAGTCAGACAGAGAAGGAGAAATATCATATGACATCCTTTATATGTGGAACCTAAAAAGAAATGATACAAATAAACTTACAAACCAGAAAGAGACTCACAGACTTAATGAGAACAAACTTATAGTTGTCAGGGGGAAGGATGAGGGAAGGGATAGTTACAGAGTGTGAGATCAATAGATACACACTGCTATACTTAAAATGAATAACCAACAAAAACCTACTGAATAACACAGGGAACTTTGCTCAGTTATGTGGCAGCCTGGATAGGAGGGGAGTTTGGAAGAGAATGGATACATGGATATGTATGGCTGAGCCCCTTCACTGTTCACCTAAAACAATCACAATATTGTTAATCAGCTATACTCCAATTAAAAGTTTTAAAAAAAAAAAGATACTGAAAAAAAATAAAAGAACTACCACTCATGAGAAAAGGGGATGACAGAGGAATAGATGGTTGGATGGCATCACCAACTCGATGGACATGAGTTTCAGCAAGCTCTGGGAGTTGGTGATGGACGGTCAGGGAAGCCTGGCAAGCAGCAGCCCATGGGATCGCAAAGAGTCAGACATAACTGAGCAACTGAACTGACTGACGGACTGCTCACGAATTCCCTGGCAGTCCAGTGATTAGAACTCAGGACTTTTACTGCTGAGGACCCATGTTTGATCCCTGACTGGGGAACTGGATTCTGAAAGTCACATAGTGCAGGCAAAAAAGAATAAAGACAAGTTCTGAAAAAAAGAAAAACTACTGCTCTTTGAAAGGCACTGTTAAAAGAGAATGAAAAGGCAAGCCACACACTGGGAGAAAATATCTGCAAAATACATGTAACAGAAGATGAATAACCAGAATGTAAGAATTTTAAATTCTTAAAATTCAGTTTATACAATAGCAAAACACTTTAACAGAAACTTTACTAATGAAACTATACATGAGAATAAGAACATGAAAAAATATCCAACATCATTAGTCATTAGGGAAATGCAAAACAGAGAGATATAATATCCATACAGTAGAGTGACAAAAATCCAAAGTACAAACAATATCAAGTGACGGGAAGAATGCAGAAGAACTGGAACTCTTATACACTGCTGGAAGCAAAATTATATAGCCACTTTGAAAAACAGTGCCAACAGATTAGCAGTTTCTTAGAAAGTTATGACACAGTAATTCCACTCCTAAGTACTTATCCAAAAGAAATAAAAACTTATGTTCATATGAAAATTACACATGTTTATAACAGCTTTATTTATAATCACTGAAAACACAACACACCCCAAATAGCCTTCAAAGTACATTCATACATTAGAAAAT